TAGGAGGTGGCGCCCTGAGTCACTGTGGCCGAGAGCCCGAGCCGCGCGCGCCCTCGCGGTTCTGTCCCGGGGACCGCCGAGCCCCAGCCGCGCCTGCTGTCCAGCCCCGGGCGGGCTCGTCGGTGGCGGCCCGAGTGTGGCCGAAGGAGCAGGCCTTGCTCCTGAGCCCCGCGACCTCGGCTCCCCCTGCGGACGCCCCACGCCCTGCGAAGGGTCGCCGCATCCGGGCATCCCAGCCCCCCGGGGGTGCGCCCCCCTCTGCGGGAGCGCGGGAGCCCAGCGGTTTCGGGGGGAGGCGCGGAAACGGGCCGGACGCGGGATCTCAGGAGGCTCGAGGCTGGCGGTGTGATCCTCTTGATTGGGATGTCACGTCCACGCGTCCAAAAGTGCTGTGAGGGCCCGTAAAACCTTTGCCGTTGCTGCTTCAGCAGCTTCCAGCCATTCTCCTATTTTAGGGCTTCCGGCCTGTGGTGGTAAAGTGCTTGTTTTGATCGAACACGGAGGGAGGGTAGGAACGCTTCTCTGCCTTACGGAGGGAGATTGTCCCCCTCTGCCTGCTGTAGACTGACCGTCCCCCGCCCCCATTCATATCTTGAAGCCAAATCCCCAGTGTGTTGGTACTTGGAGGAGCTGCCTTTGGGAGGCCACCCGTCAGGAGGGTGGAGCCCTCATGAATGGGATTAGTGCCTGGATAAGAGAGACCCCGAGAACCAGACTGCTGACTGAACCAGGAAGCCGGCTCTCAGGACGCACCCCATCTGCTGGCACCTTGATCTGGGTCTTTCCAGCCTCCAGCACTGAGAAATAACTGTTCCCTGTTTAAGTCACCCGGCCTGTGATGCTTTCGTTACGGCAGCCGGAAGGGAGTGAGACACTTGCTGGCCGGTCAGCGTAAGGAAAGGCAGCTCGAGGTGGTAGAAGGATTGATCGGAGAATCAGGAACGTAATTCTGGCCCCTCCCGTTTTCCCCGTTTGACCACAGATGACCACAGACAAGGACTTAACCGCTCAGGACCTCCTTTTAAAAGTCTCATTACAAAAGCCATATTTGTTGATTATAGAAATATTGGAAAATAGAAGCTTTTCTAATCATTCCATTAAAAATTGCAACTTGCTTCTCAAGGCGCTCCTTATCCCCCTCTGTCGCTTTATTTCCTACCATCTGACTTATTTTGGAATTTAATTAATTAGTTCATGACCTGGCTCCCCCGATCCAGGAAAAGTCGCAAGACGGTTGGGGATATGGCCTCTTCACTGCCACATCCCCACTGCTCTGAAGAGCCTGGCATGGTGTAGACACAGTAACCGTTCATTAAATGAATGCGCGGACGACCAGTTCCTGCTGCCCAGCGGTCTGGGACTCCCTGGGTTCCTGACGTTTTTATAAAGCCCGAATGGCCCGTCTTCCACTGACTCTGTGAGCCCCAACCCCGGCCTTCCAAGAAAGGTCCTATTCAGCAAGTCAGCCAGTTTCCGTCGCACGCGGAACCACTTCCTGGATCGTGGGCTTCCCGGCCACAGGGTGTCCGAAACCGCACGCGAGACCTTTCCCGTCAAGCCTTCACGTGTGCTGCGAAGGACGTCATCTAAGTCGTTGCCTCTGCTAGAAACATGGCGTCATGCCTTGCTCTTCACTCCCTGGGCCTGGGACGTGGTCCTGCAGTGGAATTCCAGAATAGCCATTTATTTAGCTGCGCGATTCTGGGGGAAATGACGTAAGTTCCCAGAAACTCGCTTTGTCTTTTTATCTACAAAATTAGTCTACCAGGCCCTGTTCTACCTGGCAGTTGTGAAGACGGCACATAGTCTGGGCCTACAGTAGGCCTTTAACAAATGCCTCTGTTACCGATTCTTACTGATGGCACCCCAAAACAGGCTCTTTCCTAGTCCCTCTGCCCGAGTGTAGGCCGCAAGTCTCCTGGGACCCTGGACAGTTGAAGTAGCCTTTGACCCGGCTTCTCTTTCGAAATCCACCGCCCAGCAACCATTCCTCGTCTGCAGCCCCTTCCTGAAGCAGACCCGTTTGACGGCTGTCTGACGGCTGACCCGTGCCGTTAGGGTGGCGTCCAGACTCTTAGACATGGCATTTCAAGCTCTTTAACAATCTAGCCTCACATAAGTTTTCCAGAATCCTCTCATTTAATGTTAATTTAGTAAACATTTTTTGAGTGCCCAGTAGAAGCCAGGCAGTAATGGAACTTGTGTTTTAGCAGGGGACTTATTAATAAAAGCAAGCCAATCACTGATGGTGATTGAGATTTCAACCTGCAGCTTTAGGAATGTTGGAAAATCTCTGTCATCTCCTTTCTTGTGCTTCTGCCACCCATGAAAAGAGCATGCTTCCGGCAGCCACTCCCGCTTCACCGAGTCCCAGAACGAGACGCGGCTCGCAGGTCCAACCCTGACTGGCAATCCGCAGCCGGGTGTGGCTGAAACGACCAAGGCCAGCCAAGCCTAGCACAGTCACGGCCACGCTGCAGACTTCTGTGTGAGGCATAAATATTTATTGTAACTCTCTGCGAGTTCGATTTGTTTGTTATTTTAGCAAAACTGGAATAATACAGAGATGGAGCCGAGAGACCATGCTTGTGAGCTGGATGCGTGCGTACGGAAAAGGAAGAAATCAAGGCTCTGTCTTGAGCAACAGAATGGAGAAAGGCATCATTCACCAAGGAATTACCAAGGCAGAGAAGATTAGTGGAGGGAAGGATTTGGTAAGAGAGTCAAGTTCAGTTTGGGACTCCTGGCATAGTCTGGGCAAAAAACCTCAAAAGAGCAATGGCTGAACGTGATAGATCATTCTCGTTCGCAGAGCACTGCAGTGCAGGTGCTCAGTGGGCGATGTCCCAAGCGCTCACTCATGAATCCACGCTCTTTCTGGCTTGCGACTCTGCCCTGCCACAGAGCTCCGTCCGCCGCCTGGGAGGCTAGGACATGCCTAGCCGGGGACTCCAGGTGACGTGGCGAACAGCTAGCTAGTCCCTGCACCACGTCTTACTTTGAGACGCCTCAGGTAGTCAGGAGGAGAAGTTTTGGGAAATCTAAGTAAGGGACAACATGGAATACGATCATCTACAATTTCGTGACTGGACATTATTACTTTTAACGTTTTCTGTGCATTCTTTCCATCTTCCTCTTCTGTGCATACGTGACAATAACGTACGTGGGGACATTTGGAGACAGGGCCGGAGTGGCCGTGGCAGAGGAACCGCCCTGCCCTCTCACTCCGTGACACTTTGGACTCTGGGAACTGGGCCTAACATCCTTGCGACCGGGCCACACCAGCCTGTCTCCCAAACAGCAGTTCGTGAAGCGCTGGGTAAGCAGCTGGCCACAGCCATTTGTCCTGGAGGTAGAATCAGTGACCAGCCCGTTAGCACAGCGGAGACCTCGCTCCTAGTCACGTAATTATTCCCTCCTTTTGTTCATCAAAGCTCCTTGCCTTCACCCGTCATTGGGACACAATCTGGGTTTCTACCCGAATCTTTTGGATCCCAGAGAAAAGCTTATGGCCTCTCATTTTGGCTTTCTATTTTTAGGTTAACACATATAAAAATATATTTTAAAATGGCATCATGTTAAACGACCTATCGAAATGGCATATACTCACTAGTAATGCCACATGGAATATTGTGGATGTGCATTATAATACTGTCTGTCTGAAGGCGGCCACTGTGAACTTTCTAATTCCACGCACGTACATCCTGTCCATCATCTCTATATCTGTCCACTTATCTAGCTCTAGATCTTTATGTCTATGAGTTAATTTATTGTCTAGGTATCTTTGTATCTTATGTTTCTGTGTATATTTCTGTCTGTACTCTATGTATGTACTCGTTAATCTATTTTGCTGTCTATCATCTACTATATATAGGTCTCTCTATGCGTTTATCTACCTAGGTTTGTTTCTTTTTTTTTTTGCATATGTCATATATCTATGTATTTATCAGTTGATAATTATCAATTATTAATCCTGTCTTTGTATCTATTACACATCTATCCATCGTCCATCTATTTATTTATGAATGTACGTATCCATGTATCTATCACCTATCTGCATGTATGTATCATTTTTATTACATAAAAGACTTTCTGCTATGCACTTTGCCACTTTGTTTCTTTCACCGGATGCATCTTAGAGACCGTCCACATGAGTACTTGGAGAGCTCTCGTTCTCTTCTTTGAAGGTGGCATTGTGATCATCATAAGGATGTACGAAGAATGCATTTAAAATTTGTCCTTATTTTACTGTGCTCTCTAACATACGTAAAGCGCGCACATACGCGCACGCATGCACGCGCGCGCGCGCGCACACACACACACACACACACACATCTAGAGACTGCCCAGGCCAAGAAACAGAACCTCGCCCCCACCTGGAGGCCCCCAGTAGACCCCTCCTCAACTGCAGCCTTATCTCTACTGACAAGTCACTCTGTCCTGACTTTTGTGACGATAATTTTCTTGCATTTAAAAAATTTTCTTACCACCTGTGGATGCATTTCTAAATAAATTAACTAACTTTTCTGTTTATGAACTCTGTTCGAGTGGAACCGTGCTTTATTTTGTTGTTTCTTGCTGCTTTTGCTCCATGTTCTATTTACGAGATTCATCGTGTGTCGGCAGGTACCTGAGTTCATCTTCCTCCTAGTCGTGTTCCACTGTGTACTAAGTCGCACTTCAAAAAAATTAATTCTAACGTTGATGGATATTTGGATTGTTTCTAGTGTGGAAAATGGTTTCGTGAACATACTTATAGATGTATTTTGGTGTTCACGTGCACCAGTTTTAAAGGTATATTTCTAGGACTGGAATTTCTAGGTCATGGGTTTGTCAACTTCACTGGGCAGTGCCAAACCTTTTCTAAATGTTAGCCCCCTTCCCTCTGCACCCCGTAGGCAGTATGGGAGACTTCCCATTGCTCCCCATCCTTGCCAACCCTTGGTGCTGTCAGACGATTAAACTATTTTTTACCAGTTTCCTGCTGGTGGTCGATTTAATTGTTTTTTTTCTCTTTCCTTTAAAATTTTTTCGCTCTTACAAAACTGTGAGGAACCTAGCCTCATAGATGCTCTTGGCAAGATTTTATAAATATATCCGTAGTAGCTCTAACCAGGGCGGGCCACGAGGGCCCCGTGCCCACATTTTCAACAGCGATGGCTGGCATCAGTCTTCAATAGTTTGTCAGTCTCGCAGATTTTTATTTCATTTTTCTTTTCATTTGCACTTACCTAATTACTAGTATGTTTTCCTATTCGTTTCTATTTAATGGCTGAAACTTTTTTTCTTTGAAAAACGTTAATTTTTACCTTTCACCTATTTTCATGTTAGATTATCATTTTTTTCTTCTATAAGGTTTTTATAAATTAAGGAAATCAGCCCTTCGCTGCATTTATATCGTGAATATATTTTGCTTAGACTGGTGTCTATTCCATAGAGAAAAAATCGTGTGTTCAGATTTGTCAGTTTTCTACTTTATTGTCTCTAGGTTTTATATTCTTTCTAGAAAGGCCTTTGCTACCTTCACCTGTGCTTCCTTTTTGAAATGTTATGGTTTGGTGTATATATTAAACTCCTTGACACATGTTATCTCTCTGATAATTTGTGCTTAAATCTTCAGGACACCACACTGAAGGGACGCATTAGGAGTCGAGCCCCGTCCCCCCGCCCCAGTTTCTCAGTGGGTCCGTTTCCCCTCCTTGTTGAAAACGCCACCCTCACGGTGGACCGAAGCGCCATTTGTATTGGGGTCTGTTTTTGGATCTGCCATTTCGTTTCACTGAAGTCTATGTTTTCTCTCCAGTATAGAAACAGTTTTAAATGTCGTTCGTGCCTGGGTTTTACTGAGGAAAACACCTTCTTTTTCCTTAACTGGAAGTCAAAGGCTTACAAACCAGAGAGGACACAGGCCCTCGGCGCATGTCTGAGCAAGGTTCTGTGGGCAGAGGGGTAACAGGTGGCCTGGCACAGAGGACAGTGGGCCAGACGTGCCAGGGCATGAGGGTGCCATGTTCCCGGGGGTTCCCGATCAGGAGGAAATGCTCTGTGTACACGTGACACTGCAAGTAGGCAAGCAGGACTCAGGAGGGCCCGCGTCGGGGGCAAAGTCCGAATTCTCTCAAGGTGGCAGTGGAGCCAGTGACGAGGTGATTCATTTCTCCTTATCTAAGTAGTTACAGTGTAACGAGCTGCAGGGACTTCCAGTGGCTGTGGGAGGAGGGGGACAGTGGCTTCGGGTAGAAAAGAGAACTGTTCTAGCAGAACTTCGATGACCTTACACCCTCAAGAAATGGCTCGGTTTTGGCGAAGGAGAAAGGCCTTTCATAACACAATTTATTTCGTTTTTATTATTTTGAATGGAAAGTTCTCTCGAGTGCATCGCGACCATCCCTCTCTTATTTCTAAAATGTTCATTGATGTCGTTTGGGCACAAACATTAAGTAAATTAAGTAAAAACATTAAGTAACTCAGCCAGCGCGGAAAAGGCACAGCTCCCAAGGCCACCTCGTCCTAGCCTGGGGCGACCGCTTTTCAGCCGTGTTTGCTCTGCCTGCCGGTTGCCTCGTCACCGTCACGTATCATGCGTGTGCTGCCTCTCGACATGGCAGCTGTAGACACCGTTCCTTCACTGTGTACTGTGCCCGTTACTTCCACAGCCCCCGCCCCACCCACCTCATCCGCTCCGAGCCACGGGCGCGGTCTCCGGTTCCCCCTTCTCCAGAGGCGCGGCTCTCGGCTCCCTGCTTTCGACCTTTGTTCTTACACTTTGCTGCCCTCGCTCCGCCTGCTTCTGTTTCTCTACATATTTTAACTATGTTTTTACTTCAAAGTCATCAAGACCGATAACATCTACCCTCTGTCCCTCTGTTCTATAAGCGCGGTTAAGTCCCCAATGATTTGTTCATAGTTTGACCCGAACGGTTGGAAATCAGACAATCAGCGTCGACATTAGGATGACTTTGTAGATGTTGTTCATCGCACAACCGGCCATCCCGTTGTTCTTCCTTCCCCCCGTTTCTGTTATTTTGTGTCTAGCGTTGTGATCCGTGTGCCCCTAAATGGCGAACATTGCCGATGGTCAAGTTCAAATGGAATTGCTCCCGCTCCTCAAACAGGGGCATAGTCCGCGTGGGGCGACTTCCCTTAGTGTGAAGGCGCTGGCCGTGTGCCAGCGCTCATCCTTCACTTCTCTCGTGACTCACCGTCTTCCCCAGCGCAGGCCGCTGAAGCACGACACCAATGGCTTAGAGAACATACGTTTATTTCCCACAGCTCTGGGGGCTGGAAGTCTGAAATCAGGTTGCCCGCATATTTGGTTCTTAGCGAGGGCTTTCTGGCTGCCTTCTGGTCGTGTCCTCCCATGGCAGATAGATAGATGACAGATGATGGACGGATGGATGGATGGATGATAGATAGATAGATAGATAGATAGATAGATAGATAAATAGACAGATAGATGATGGATGGATGGATGGATGGATGATAGATAGATAGATATTTAGATAGATGATAGATAGCAGATGATGGATGGTTGGATGAATGATAGATAGATAGATAGATAGATAGATAGATAGATAGATAGATAGATAGATAGATAGATAGATAGATAGATAGATAGATAGATAGATAGATAGATAGATAGATAGATAGATAGATAGATAGATAGATAGATAGATAGATAGATAGATAGATAGATAGATAGATAGATAGATAGATAGATAGATAGATAGATAGATAGATAGATAGATAGATAGATAGATAGATAGATAGATAGATAGATAGATAGATAGATAGATAGATAGATAGATAGATAGATAGATAGATAGATAGATAGATAGATAGATAGATAGATAGATAGATAGATAGATAGATAGATAGATAGATAGATAGATAGATAGATAGATAGATAGATAGATAGATAGATAGATAGATAGATAGATAGATAGATAGATAGATAGATAGATAGATAGATAGATAGATAGATAGATAGATAGATAGATAGATAGATAGATAGATAGATAGATAGATAGATAGATAGATAGATAGATAGATAGATAGATAGATAGATAGATAGATAGATAGATAGATAGATAGATAGATAGATAGATAGATAGATAGATAGATAGATAGATAGATAGATAGATAGATAGATAGATAGATAGATAGATAGATAGATAGATAGATAGATAGATAGATAGATAGATAGATAGATAGATAGATAGATAGATAGATAGATAGATAGATAGATAGATAGATAGATAGATAGATAGATAGATAGATAGATAGATAGATAGATAGATAGATAGATAGATAGATAGATAGATAGATAGATAGATAGATAGATAGATAGATAGATAGATAGATAGATAGATAGATAGATAGATGATAGACGGACAGATGATGGATGGATAGGTGGATGGATGGACAGATGAAGCAAGAGGGAGACTCTGTGCTCTGGTCTTTTTCTCGTCTGAAAGGTCCCTACAGGTTCCTATAAACACTAATCCCCACCACGTGTGCCGCACCCTCACGACCTCAGCTACCCCTGATTACCTTCCCAAAGCCCTGCCTCCAGATACCACCGCATTGGGGGTTAGGGCGGGGCCATATGAATTTGGGGGGGACACACACATTCAGTCTGCATTTCCATCCTTCCTTGTAGGTGCTGTGTCTATGTGACTGAGTTATATCTTCATTGAAAGACAGAGGCCATCACTGTCCCCAAGCGTCCCTGCATGTCCTCGGTAAGTGTGTCTGGCTGGTGAACTCTGTAGGTCAAGGGGACTGGGCCCTTCCATCCTCATGGCTGTGGTGACCCCTCACTGAGGCTCAGATTACATCCCCCCCACCCCAGGGCGTTCCTGGAAATCCAGGCCTGGTGGGTCTGCAGGTCCCTGAGGCCTCCCCGCCCTGCCAGGGCTCTATGGTCCTGGGCCTGACCTCACTCCTGCATCTCCCTTTCCTCCCCGTTGCCCGCGCCGGCTTTACCAGTGAGCCGTCTCCCATAGCAGCCCCTGTTCAGGCTCTGGACCATTAGAGCGTTTTCTAATCTCCGTCCCCGAGGTTCCACACTTGGCCTCAAGATCCGTTTTGGACATGCCCAGGCCCTCTCGGTGCTCAGAGCTGGGGCGGTGGTCTCATCTCAGAAGGCCGGCCCCGAGGTGATGCTGGGGACAGTGGACTGTCCATTCGTCTCGTGGAAGCACCTGTGGGAGGGAGGGGAGGGGTGTGCTGCTGTGAGCGACAGCCTTAGGGGTGGGCGGTCGATGCCTCGCACCGCGCTGCTGCTCCCCAGAGGGCAAAGGTCCGTGAGACCCTGAGTCGAAAGCGGGAGGGGTACGAGAGGGGCTGCCAGGGCACCCCTCCTTTCTAGGGGCCAGCACGCCCGCTGTGAGGACTGTGTGAGCCCTTCCAGAGGTGTGGATGGGTCAGAAGCGGGTGCTGTCCTGGGCCGGAGGGGGGCCGACACCGCCTCCGGGGGCTCACAGGAGGCAAGAGAGACACGTGAACACATAATGCCTATGCAGGAGTGCCCCAGCCAGGTGCCCCAGCCAGGTGCTCCAGCCCAGGTGCCACAGCCAGATCCCCCAGCCAGGTGCCCCGGCCCAGGTCCCCCATCCCAGGTGGGGCCCCAGCACCCTCCAGCTCTCTCCCAGTCTGTGAATCTCCAACTCTCTGGAAACTCTTTCACTCCTTGGGTGGTGAAGCCCCAAGCGTTGCCAAACCTGTTTCAGGAGCCTCCTCCCCAGGCCACTTTTAAAGTGTGGGAGGGTTGGCGCCCAGCAGATAAACAGGTGCCGTTTGGAGGAAACAGTGGTGGGGGCAGGGGGCAGGGGGCAGGAAGGGTGGGACGGCTTTCCCCCGTGGACTGTGTGAATACGAAACCTCTACTCCTTAGCCAGAATTCACTTAAAAATACAGCCAAGAATTACCCCCCATTTTTTTTTTTTTAAACGGCGTTGCACTAAGAGTTGCTGAAATACAGGCACGGGTTGGGGGAGCGAGAGGGAGCTGGTGTCTGCCGGCGCCGGGCCGCAGCTCCGAGGAGGCTTGTCCCGTAAATGGTCACCAGGTAGACAAGTGGGGAAGAAGGCAGTCTGGGCTCCGTCATCTGCTCCCCAGCTCAGCTCAGCGGTCACACAGGTGATCAAGGCTAACACAGCCCGGTCCCTGACAACAGCTAGGGCGGCGATCTTCAGCCTTTTTGACCACTTTCTCACGGTGAGAAGTAGATTCAACATTGCGTCCGAGTACGCGTGTTCATACAGATTCACGCGCACATAATGAAATAAATTTTCATGAAATAATATGTCCTTTAGGTATGTGAGATGGGTTAAATTTTCTCTTCTTTCCTAACTGACATTTTTTAACGCTGGGAACACTCCGTAAACTGACTTCATGGCCCACAGTTTGGAAAATTCTGAGCCGGGACATGGACGTGCAGACGGATTCATGACAGAGAGACGTGTTTTACGAAAGGTCCCTGTCAGTCAGCGGAGCGCGCGTCGCGAGGCCAAGTCCCAGATGTTTAAATCCGATCTCGTAGCGCTTTCTTGCGCCAAGGCCTCTGCCTTTGTCTGTTTGTTTGTGTGTGTTTGTGTTCGAGGGGCTCAGTCTTAGAAACAAAAAGAAAGAAACGCAGACCCTCGCGGGCCTCGGTCATCGGGAATCCTGAGCACAAGCTGCGGCCTCCTGACTTACGGTGGCTGCACCGATGCCTTTTCAAAGCAGCCTTATGCCCCGAGCATGCGCCCTCAACACTGCAGGGGTTTTTTTCAGTTTAAAAAACTGTATCTTTTAAGTCTGTTTTAATGGACAATTTCCTTCCCACCTTGCTTTTTATTTCCGGAATGAACTGGATTGCTTGATTGACAGATTCCCATAGTATGAATTTTGCTATGACACCCGTGGCGAGCCTTAGCATGCTTTCTTCTGTCATCGGTATCCCCTGCAAATTGGTAGATTTGGTTTTGATCAGATTCAGGTTTGATTTTTTTTTTTTTGGCAAGAGTGCTTCGTAGATGATATCGATCTCTCGGGCCCCATGTAAAATGTCCATCAGGTGCCTGTGTGTGCGTACGCGTGCGTGCCCGTGTAGTGTGCGTAGGTGTGTGTTTTGGTAGTGGGGTTAGCAGCCACTGACACTTGGCGCCTGTACCTATTAACGCGTTAGGAGTTTCAAGATCACATCCTAGGTCCGTCATTCTTTCTTCATTTATTAGTTTTACTATGTCCGTTCAGAGTGAGCATCTAACCGACGCCTCGCACACCTGCCAAAGGAACGGGGACCTATTATCTCACTTAGTCGTGATGATCCTGTGGGGTCGAGGCGGAAATACCATGGCAGCTCTCCTACACCTACTTTCTACCGCATTCCACCGAGAGGGGCACGGGGCGGACGCGGCCGCTGTGCAGAATTCGGCCTCCCGAGGAAGGGAGCCAGCACCCCGCTTCTCGCTCGCCACCGCTGACCGCTCCACCTTCTTTCCCTGCCTGTGTTTCCTGTCACCCCTGCCCCTTTAAGACTCAACGTCACTCGAGCTGTGCCCGCAAGCAGTGCTTAGTCCCAGCGGCGGACGTCAGGGGCCGACTGCCTTGGCCTCTCCTTGGTAGCACCGAAGGCTCTGGCTGGGATTCCGACCTCTGCAGGGAGAGCAGTGGGGGCGGAGGGGTGTCCCGTGTATTTCTCCCTCTGCTGCTGCCGCCGACAGGGTCGTAGGAACTATTTCTGGGGAACTCCACCTTGGAAAAAGGAGACCGTTCCTGCCTTTGTTCCTGGAACAGTGACTCCATCTGCAGGAAGCTCAGAATTACAGCTTCTGTGGAAATCAGAAACGAGCTTGAAAGAGAAGTAGAAAACCCGAATGACGATGTGAGCCGTGGGAAGCTCCTTCCTTGGAACGGAGGCAAAGCTTTTGTGGGACTCAGCCAGGCACTGTCAGCCGAGAAGGGCTAACGGTGACTTGAGAAGCACAGAGACGTCACGAATGTGGGCGGAAACCAATCGCCATTACTGTTCCGCTTGGGACAGGCATGCTTTCAGGGGAAAGACAAGGGCCGTGCAGCTTAGAAGCACCATTCCATAATTTATGCGTCTTCGATGAGAAAAACAGCACAGGGATGACTGTGTTCGGAGACTGTCCCAAGCTTCATGGCCACAGTCCCCTGCACACAGACGGCTGGCGGAGGGGACTGCGCCCCAGTCGGGCAGGCCTCCTGCACCTGCCCTCCCGACTCAGGCCTCTGGGCGGCGCTCAGCCGTGTCCTTTCTTCCCGGCCTTTCAAAGATTCGCTTGTTTCCTCCTTATCTTTCGTTGTATTGGTCTTTCCTTTCTTCTCGAGATCCTGGTTCCCACCGGGAAGTCTCCCTGGTCTGCAGAACAGGGCTGGCCCGATACCTGTCACCTCGCCGTGTGCACTATTTGCTGACTATTTAGTCCTGGCGGGGTGGGGGCGGGCTGAGGGGGTCGGTGGGGATGGAGAATGACAGCTGCATATTCCTCTTGGACTGGTAACCTTACTTCACCTCCTTGCCCAAATCTTCCCCTAGCCTAGCAGGCACAGACTTTCACATGACCCGGGACGAGGACGACCACGATGATGATGGCGATGACCTGCTGGCTTTCCTGTCTCAGGGCGGAAACCCCGGAAGTTGGTGCCGTCACCTCCTCCGGCAGCCAGCCGGTCCCGCCGGGCCCCAGCGGTGTGTGATCCTGGGGGGCCGGGGGGGCACCCGGGGACTCACCTCCTCGGCCCTCTGAAACCGCTCTGGCACACGGGGCGGGACTCACCCCTGCCCTTTCGCAAGGCGAGCGAGGAGGGCCGCCCACTCCCACCCGGCTCCTGTCCGGGGGCTGCCCTCCGGGGGTATCTGACCGCTACGCCTCGGGCGTTATCACGTGCCAGCGCCTGACGGGCGAGTCGCGGACAGCACGTTACGGGGGACGCGCTCGTTGGGCGGACTCTCCACACATCGTTGGAAAGGTCGGAGAGGGTGCGAAGTGCCAGCGCCCCGGCGGGTACCGCCTGAGCAGCCGCAGCGTCGCCCAGGCCACCCGTTGCCTTAGCAACCGCGGAAGCCCGGCACAGGGACCGCGGTCCACGGCAGCATCTCGAAGAGGCTTGTTACCTTAGCAACCGCGGGATCCCTGCGTGGGCCACAGTCTGGTGCGCCCTGCCTGCTGGGAGGGACGCGAAGCCCAATTCCTCCACGAAGCCTTCCCAGATTGACCGAGAGATGCCGCGTTTCTGTCGGCGAGGGGGAGCCCCCCACCTTTGTTCCTTACCCCCACGGTACTTACTCTTATTTGGCAAATCGAAATGAAAAACCCACTTGCCCTATCGTGGTCGTGAGAATACTCTTGTTTCATGGGTCCGTGTAATTGTTTAAAGTTGGGTAAACTCTGAAAATGGTGGCAGCGAGCCTTTTCTTCACTTTCCTAACTTTTTCCACGACGAAAACGCGTCCCCGCTTGTCTGGCGCATGCCTGCCAGCCTTTAGGTTTTTATCCGCGGCCGCCCGGTGCGCCTCTCAGGACAGATGGCACCGCGGACCCCCTGCCAGCTCTGCACGTTTCTGGCGCATTAGCAGGTGCAGCAAGAGGAAGGGCACAGAGCGAGGTCCCCCGGCGGGGGATTGGGGCTGCGCGCTCGTAGGGACGTCCCCACGGTGGCCTTGCTTTCCAGGTGGCCCCGCGCTTCTTCTCAGAGGGCGAGAGTCCCGCCGCAGAAGGGGCGGGGCCAC